TTTTTCTCTCTCTCTCTCTCTCTCTCTCTCTTTCTCTGAATTCAGTTATATATCGTCTCGGCGAGATATCATCCAAGCTAATAATCGTTACCAATTTTTTTTTTTTTCTTTTTTCTAGAAATGATTGACATCGTAAGGTATCGGCACATGTTATTCCTGATTATACGCGTACCGATTATAACGTGCGCTCTTTTATAAAGTAAAATGTACGTACGATCACGACGCGAGAGAATTCTCGAGAGTGGTCAATTTGTCTGCGTTGCGCGATATATAATACATACACGCGCACACCGAATGACGAGGATTCCTCCGCGTTTTCTCTAAAGCGTTGGAAAATGCCCGAGACTGCGTGTTCTACTGTTTTTGAAACGAAGGAAGAAGAAGAAGAATAAGAAGAAGAAGAGAAGAAGACGCCGCAGCGTAATGATCATTTTACCGTATAAAATCACGAGTCTACGTTATATTCGCGGGGCATGAATCAGTAATAAAATGTACGGATTTTTCGGTACCTTAAATACTACGTTTGTAAAGTTTCAAAAAAAAAAAGATATAGCAGATACAAAAATACCTACCGCGGCTACTTACGTACGGAAGTTAACACAAATCTTAGAAGTACGTTTAATCGTGAAATGAACTTGTAAGAGACTCGCGAGCATAGAGTAGGCCAGCGCGTATGCTATTCATTGGGAAGGTGCCCAGTCTTCACATGTTCGTTCAATCTCCGAAGAAGTTTACTTTGCATTTACCTGGTGCGCTTTTTTCTTTTTTACTTACGACCAAACCGTGCGCAAGTATCGTATGCTTTTATACTTTGATATTGTGTACATGATATTGTGCTCTACTTTGTACATTAAATTTAACTTTCTCTCCTTCTCATTATTATTATTATTATTATTATTATTTTGTTCTCGTTCAACAAGGGCAACTCTTTATTCTCACGGAACAATGTGTTTTTTTATCTTTTCAACATACCCGTACATTTTTTTTCTTTTTTTTTTTTTTTTTTCAATGCACGCTTTCCAAAAGGAATTCGACTGATCCGAGATGAAAGTCCAAAGTTCAGATATTCATTGAACAAATTAGTATTCTATATCGAAATTGATATGTTCAAGGACTTGAAATGTAAATAATTGGTTGAGAAAGAATGATTGGATGACCTTCTAAATAAGATGGTGAGAACTAAGTAATTTAAGAAACTTTAGTAAAATGAAAACATCGACGAAATAAGATGCTTGAAAGACAACAATCGTTTTAGTGTTTGGAACATGCATTTTGGTACTAGACCTAACGAGAAAATTGCCTTTTTTCTTTTTTCTTTTTTTTTTTTTTTTTTTTTTTTTTTTTGGTTTGTAGAGTCCATACACGGTGCCCGACATTCACTTGGTACACGTTTGTACTTGGATCTTACAAGAGTAAAGTTGGTCCTACAAGTACTTACAATAATATACCCAAGAATTAAAAAAAAAAAAAAAAAAGTAGGTGCTACAACCAAGGCACGATGAAGTGTATCATATTACCCAATGATGCATGATTGTTAATGTAGCATTGAGAGAAAATGCGGTTAAATTTTGCTCGAGGAAATTCAAACGTTACCTATTTATAGGTATATGTATATGTATATATGTACATATTATATATATTATATATAACATTGATATAATATATATAAATAGTCTGATTGTGACGTTTGTAATCTACCTTTATGTACAGACGCAAAATCTAACTGCTTGCAGAGCGTGTCCCTGAACCTTTTTCCTAAAAGCCCACCAATCAATTTCAATGTAGAATGCTAACTTTTTGCAAAACCGTGTAGTTAAAAATAAAAGAATATCAGCCCAAAATATATGCATGGAACAGAGTCCTGATTCCCAAAGTTTTTAAAAGTATGTCTATCAGCAACCCCCGGTAAAGGGGTTAACACTCGAACCGCAAATACAACAAAATCAGACAAGATAAATAGGGTAAGCATAGACGCTAACAAACGTTGTTGTATGTTGGATCTTACCACACATACAAACCTATCATATCAGGCAGGTTCAGGGATTTTGCATGGAATAGTGAACGGCACTAGTTGCCGGCAGCGGCCACCACGCTGTACCAAGAACAAGATAAAAACTGCATTAATCAAGACAGCCAATATTTTTCTTTTCAGTTGATCGTTTACCATATATGCATTTACAGAATGGTAATCCTGCATGGATGTATGGCGGGACCCCCCATACCGTCTGGTTTAGTACCAATGAAAATGGGTAGCCTAACTATAGCCCTGCCCCACTATAACTAGCTGGAAGTGACGCTAAGTAACGGTGAAATTCCAGACTATGGACTCACTGAGGTTCTCAAGAAGGGGTTTACTTTTCGTGCGTTTTACTTACAGTGCATGTCTCGTTCGTGCTCATACTCAATGAAAGCATATCCCCTAGGTTTGCCATTTATTGTATTATGAATTACCACTATCTGAAAAAGCGAATACAAATCTTCATACACGTGAAACACAGTGAGCTACTGTACCTTAATCTGCTTACCTTTTTTACTGGACCGTATACCTCGAATTCCCTTCTAAGTTTCGATTCAGACGTATCGTAGTTCTGAAAAGTACACGACACAAACATAAAGGGGGAGCAAAGCGTTTCATCAACGTGATAACATGGAAATTGTTGTATTTACTATTAAGATATCAACTCACTATTCGAGCTACAAAAAGGGTTTTAAAGGGATCCGCTGTTACATTTGGGATACCAGCTGGATCCCATACTGCAATTTCTTGCTCCAATTTATACGCCACTTGCTCGGCGCGTTCTCTTCTTCTGCGTTCAAGGCGTTCCTCTCTCGTTTCCACGCGTACTGGTGGCGGTGTGTCTTTCGGTTCCTACGAAATATATAACGCACACTATATCCGTTTATTACTTACTCGCGCAAGGGCAAAAAATGGTAACACCGATAGGTTAGACACTCGAGAAAAGGCATTCCGATGATGCGCGTACGGCGTGAAACCACTCGGTGAAATGTTTGTTACCTCAAAATATTTAAGAAAACCTCCAACACCGATGTAGCCTCCATTTTTCTTCTCGTGCGGGAGCTTGCTAACCGGAGGTAAATACGGTATAGGATCACGCGGAGCGAAAAGGGCCAACAAATTTGGCGGTAGAAACTGCGTCATTTTCTCAGGTACAAGAAGATCGCGGTACAAATCCTCAGTTCTCACAAAATATCGAAACAAACAACATCTTCGTATTCTCAAACACCACCACAAAATGGCGTCAACGATGCTGTAGTTTCGGAAGCCTTTACCGGGTCGGTAAGGATTTACCAGGCAGAAAGATGTCTCTGATGTAAGTCTACGCTGCGCGCATGCGCAGATCAGCGCCATCTAACGACAGTGTACAATAAATTTTTCATTTTGCACATGCATGCGTACTCTGTATAATTAGCTAATTAGTCAAATGATATAACAAATAAATAAGTACATTACTTGTAAAAAATTGATTAGCATCGCAGACATGTAAAATTCATGCGAGACAATATAACATTAACGTTTATTGATTGAA